GGGGCTGGCCAGTGCCGTGTTTGGGTCTTATTGGAGGAGACTATGAGGTGGTATTCCTATAGGGAGAGGTTGTTTGAGCACAGGTTTAAGTTTCGCGAGCACCGGAAAAGCCGGAGCTTAGGGCCTTTGTTGTTTTGGGAGACAGTGCCATCTTGGGGACGCCCTTCTGACTGTTCTCTGCGCCTTTCAGGACCTAACCCTGAAAAAGCTGTAATCAAACATCATCAATTTGTGGAGAAAATATGACAGTATGAAATTATTTTAATACTGACATCAGTTGAACCAGCTGCTGGAGCTAAGAATAATTCTTAGAAAAGCATCCATGGGCTTGGCGTGGTGGCTTATGCGTGTAATCCCGGCATTTTGGGAGGCCAAGGCTAGAGGATTGCCTCAGTCCAGGGTTTTGAGACCAGCCTAAGGCAACTTGACAAGACCTCATCTCTCCAATAAATAAAAAAATTAGCTGGATGTGATGGCCTGCACCTGTGGTTCCAGCTACTTGGAAGGATATGGTGGCCCACGCCGGTGATTCCAGTTACTTGGAAGGCTGAGGCGGAAGGATCGCCTAAGCCCAGCAGGTCGAGGCTGCAGTGGCTGTGAGCGTGCCACTGCACTCCAGCCTGGGTGACAGAATGAGACTCCAACTCAAAAAAAAAAGAAAAGAAAAGAAAAAGTGTCCGTGTAGTCCACTTTAAACTAATCTCATGCATGAAAATCATGTTATCAAGTAAGTTGAAGTTTTACTTTAAATATTTAAATATTAGCCTTGTCATATTTCCTACATTCCACTTTGAAACTTTGTCTCTCCTAAAAAAAATAAATAAATAAATAAATAACCAAAGACCAAAAAAAAAAAAGTAAGCATAACCTTGTAGTTTTTTTGTTTCGTTTTTTGAGTTGGAGTTTCACTCTGTCGCCCAGGCTGGAGTGGAGCAGCACGCTCACGGCCACAGCAGCCGACCTGCGGGGCTCAGTAACCCTCTCGCCTCAGCCTTCCAAGTAGCTGGAACTACAGGCACGCGCCACCACGCCCAGCGAATTTTCGGATTTCTGGTAGAGGTGAGTTCACGCCAAGTTGCCCAGGTTGGTCTCCAGCCCGTGAGCTCGGGCAGTCCTCTCACCTAGGCCTCGCAGAGTGCTGGGATTAGAGACGTGAGCCACCGCGACCGGCCTCCTCGCGGTTTCTTTCCAAGTGCATCTAGGCTTCGAG